CGGGGCGTGGGTGGGTCCCTCTAGGGGTGCCCAAGTCCCTCAGGGGGATCCTTGCTTATGCTGGGAGATCCCCGCTGGATCTGTGAAGGGGCCCGGATAGGTCCCTATGGGGGTGTTCAAGTCTCTTGGGAGTGTCCTTGGTTCTTCTGGGGGGTGTCCCTGCTGCTGGGGAGCGCGGTCCCCGCGGGAGTGGGATCTCGCCTGCATGGGGGGAGTCCGTGGGGGTGGCTGGTCCCAGTGCAGGTCACTCCCTGAAAGGACCCAGCCCTGGTAGTGTCCCGAGCTCGGCTACTCCGTGGAGCCATGGGCGCCGATCCATCCGTGGGGAAGCGACTGGGGCCGGTTACTGGGGCCGGTTACCGGGGCGGGGGGCGGGACCTGGGGCCAGTGGGGTGCGAGAGGGGACACGACAGGAGGGCAGACACGGGGAGGCGACACAAGAGCTAAACTGGGGGACACGGCAGATGGACACACGGGGGGGCGAGGCCACAAGGGTGAGGACATGGAGGACGGAATTTGAGGGGGGGGTTGAGGACACCAGGGAGAGGAACGCGGCGGGCGGGATACCAGAGAACTAGGACACGGCGGGGACACACATGGGGGGCGAAGACACTACTGTGGGGGAACACCGTGGGGAGAACTGGAGGACACAGGGAGGGGGGGGGGGGGGGGGGGGGGGGACACACAAGGGGTCCCGCCCGCAGCCGGGGGCGGAAACAAAGAAGTTGAGAAGTGTCGGCTGGTCCCGGGGGATGTGGCGGGGAGCAGTGGGGCGCCGGGAAGGGGGGTCCGGTACCTTCTGCGAGAGAGTCCCGCGGCTTCTGGAAACTTTCCCGGGGCGGCGGGGGCCGCTCCGCCTGCGGGGAGAGGCGGTGAGCGGAGCGGGGCCGGGCGGGGGGAGCCTCCCCCCGGCTCCCCGCCGGCCCTCGCCTCACCTCGGGGCCGGGGCCGGTGCCGACCACGGGGCCGGGGCCCCCCCGGTTCTCGGTCTCGCTGACCAGCGAGGACTTGAGCTCGTCCAGGTCCCCGTGGGCCGAGCCGCGCCCCGCGCCCTTGTCCTGCTCCTCGCCCTCGTCCTGGAAGGCGATGAGCTCGTCGGGGGCCCCCAGGTCGTCTCCCCCCGTCGGTTCCAGCTGCGGCATCGTGGGGTCCCGCCCCGGCCCCGCCGGGCCCCGCCGCCGCCGTCGCCACCGCCCGGAGGGTCGGGAATGCGCGGGGCGGCGGGGCGGGGAGGAGCCGGGATGCAAACCGACACCGGGGGCCGGGCAGGGGCTCGCACCGCCCCGCCGGGCCCGCACAGCTCCGCACTGGTCCCGCCGCCGACTCACGCCGGCTCCGCACCCGCTCCGCCACCGGCCGCGCACCGGACCCGCTGTCCACGGGACGCCCACGGGGCCACGGTCGGTCCCGGCGCTTACGAGGCTCCCTGCACGTCCGGGACCCCCCATCCTGTCCGGGCTCTCCCCATCCCGTCCGTACCGCCCTCATCCCATCCAGGGTTCCTCCACTTTGTCCAGGGTGCCCCAGCTGGGGTCGCCTCGTCCCATGCAGGGTGTGACCTCCCGACAGACAGACCGAGCCTTCCCATCCCTCCTATACGGTCTTTCCATTCCATGCGGGATGACACTTCTGACACATCTGAGTGTTCTCAACTCTACCCATAGTCTCCCCCATTCCGTCTGTGTTCCTCCCACCCTGTCCTGGTCTCCCCATCATGCCCTGGGTCCCCCCCATCCGGTCCCAGGGTGTTCCCTCCCATCTGGCTGCTCTCATCCTTCCACCCCATCCTATTCAGTTGCCTGCACCCCCTCCGAGTGCCCCCATCCTACTCAGGGTGCCCCTCACTCCACCATTCCTGTCCTGCCGGGGTGTATGTATCCCATTTGTGTGCCTCCATGTATCAGGAGAGCCCACATATCACCAGGGAGACACTGGTCTGCCATCCCACCCAGGTGTTTCATCATACCAGAGTGACCTCAGTCTACCCCAATGCCCCTGTCCCCTCCCTCAGGGAATGCTCAGAGGGACATGCCCATCTCTCCCCACCCTGGGAGCAGGGTCCTCCATGATGGGTCCAGCCAGCCTGCAGGACAGACTCTTTCGAAAAACCTTTTTCCCCTTTTTTTTACAGGGTGGGCTAGTTCCCCCATGACAGGTACTTGCGGGACTGGTGGAGTGACACCAAATGGGGCTTAATCCAGCATCTCCAAACCATTGTGTTTGTCCCATCCAATCACCCACAGCCTGACCGTGAACCCCAATCTCCAGCCATCTCCAGTCCCCCAAGCCCTGAGGCCACCAGACTCCACCACCCCCCGGCAGCCCCTCGCTCTGCACCACAAAGGTTCTTCAGTTGCTTTGCCTGAAATACTTCATGAAAAGGCTTTTGTGCCATCGAAATCGCTAGTGACCCCAGTCCCCCCTGCCCAAGATTCCCAAGGAAAAGCAGGAGGCAGCTGCGGGCGGTCGTGCCGGCTTCCCCGCTCCCAGCCCTCCAGATGTTTTATTGCCCTGTGTTTAATTAACGTTTTCCATCCATGTGCTGAATGGGGAGCTCACATCTGCACTGTCTTCCCAGACAGCTCCTCGTTTACAGGTACATGGAGTTAGGGGTATGGATATGTCCAGGGGTCTGTGTGAGTCCCAGGGCGCTAAGAAATAGAAATAATCACCTTATGCACTATCTTGCCCGTATTTCCCATAAATAACATCCTCATAAATAAAATCCCCAAGGCGTGAGGAGATGGCTGGTTCCCAACAGGGGATATGTGGAGGGTGAACACCCCGTGCCACCCAGCGCTCCCCAGGTGCCCCCCAACTTTGCACTCGTATGACTTCCTAAATCATAAAAATGCCACTGGCAGCTCTGCAATTTTACAGTGTTTCCCAATATTTTTGTAGGTCCTACAAACACAGGAGAGCCTTCTCTACGGGTTTCATCCACTGGGAGGTGATATCTGGGGGTGATGACTTGATGAATGGATGGCGGATCCATGGGATGGAGGGGATGAAGAGTGTATGGTGGGACCACCCAACACCCCGGGATCTTCAGCTACCATGGGACTCTCAACCACTCCAGGACCCTCCACTGTTCCTTCAGTTTTGGTCACCCCAGGAAGTCTGGACACCCTGGGACCCTCAGGTACCCCAGGATCCAACACCCACCCCAGGACCTATGGCCACTCTGGGACCCTTGAACACCCCAGGATCTTTGCACACCAGGACTCTCAGCCACCCCAAAGCCCTTGGACAACCTGGCACCCTCAGGTACCCCAGGACCTACAGCAACCCCAGGACTTTTAGGTGCCTCAGGACCCTGGGACATCCCAGGACCCTCCATCACTCCATTCACCATCTCTCACCCCATCCCAACTCCCCCAGACACATTTTTCCCTGGGAACTGGGGACACTCCGCTCCACCTCCTCAACTGAAGCCTGAAGCCCCAAGGAGACAAATCCTGGCAGAGCACTGGAACCATCACTATCTCTGGGGACAAACTGGGGGCCTGGGGGGGACTCGCTAAACCCCACCTAAGCCTCCTGGGACAGGAAGAGCTAGGAGTCTCGTTCTTTTCCCCGTGCGTGAAGGTGGCGGGTCATGGGTCGGTTGCTCCTCCCGTAGCCCCTGAGGCCGCAGGGGTGGGAATGAGTCACCGCAGGAGTTTTGGGGCAACTTCCCCATCTCCGTGTCCTTGCTGCTCTTCCAACTTTAAGGAGATGTGGAGGAAGGCTCGGGGGAGAGAAAGGGGACCCGATGGAGGGCCACCTCGAAATCCCCCGAGCAGTCCTTCCCCACGCGGTGGCAGCGCGGTGCCAGCCAGATGCTGGCAGCGGGGGAGGGCTGGGGGAACAATGAGCCGCTAATGTCCCATTAACACATTCTGGGGACGCCGCCGGGCGAGGGCCCACCCCCTGTCCCTCCCCCGCACCTCTCCCTCCGCCTCAGGTCACCTCCTGTGTCCCTCCAGGCCACCTCCTGCCCCCCAAGAGCACCTCTTCGGGAGGGTCATCGCCATGGGGGGGTGAGAAGCAGAATTTTGATGATATGGGCTAAAATGGAAACGCATTTACACTCCAGAAAGCTCCAGGCTCCGAACTGCTTCGGTACCGCCAAACATCCCTGATGTACCCCCCACCACCGAGGTCGGGAAATGAGGGAAGTCCCCGGAAATGCCGATTTTCTCCAGCCAGGGGCTGCGATTAGGGGGTGCGGAGGTGGGCAGGGCTGTGTGGGATGTGGGCACTGTCGGGGCTGCCTGGCGTACAGAACCCCAAGAACCACCTGGAACCGGGTGTCCCAGAACAGCCCGGGATGGGGGTCCCTGAGAACTGCCCTCGGGGCGCGTGATGCCTGGAATCCCCCTTGGATGGGAGCCTCCGAAAATTGGGGGACCCCGGAACTGCCCGAGAACGGGGCCCTCAAGAGTCATGCCGGGATGGGGGAGCCCCAGAAGCGCCCCGGGACAGGGGAGCCCCAGGAACGCCTGGGATGGGGGGTCCCTGAGACGCCGAGCCGCGGGACCGGGAGGGGCGGGGCGCGGCCGGGCGCGGCCTGCTGGGTCTGAAGCGCGGTCTGTGTGTCCGGGGTCTCTCATTCGGGGGTCGGTCTGTCTGTCCGGGGTCTGTCATTCGGGGAGTCGCTCTGTCTGTTCGGGGGGGGGGGGGTCTCCTTATCAGGGTCTGTTGCTCGGGGGCGGGGTCTGGTATTTGAGGGGGTGTTCTCTCTTTCGGGGGTGGGCTCTCTATGGGGGCGTGGCCTATCAGTACAGGGCGTGGTCTAGCTGTTCGGGGGCGCGGTTTAGGCTCTCGTGGGTGGGGCCTAGCGGGGCGGGACTATCTGGGACTGGGCCGGGCGCTTCTGGGGCAGGGGCGGGGTTCCGTAGCCCCGGAGGGGTGGGACCGGGGCGGTGCCGGTAGCACCGGCTGGACGGGGCGTTACTGGGGGCGGTACCAGGGCGGTGCCGGTAGCACCAGCGGGGAGGGGCGGGGCCGGCGGGCGGAGCGGGTGCGGCCATGGCGCTGAACCTGGCCAAGAACGGGCGGGCGCTGCAGGAGGCCTACGGGAGCGTGGTGGCCACGGGGAGCAGCACGGACTGGTGAGGGAGGGGCGGCGGGGCCGGGGGTCGGTGAGGGGGGGGCGGGGATGGGCGTGGATGCGCAGATGGGGGATGGGGGACTGTGAGGTGTTCGGAGGGATGTGGGTGTTTGGGGTGGGGGATGGGGGTGCAGGGGGAGGGGAGGGAGGGGTGGAAGAGGAACAGTGATGGATGCGGGTGGAGCGCCTGGGAAAAAAAATTACTGGCTGGGCCAGTGGTTTGGGGGGACATGGGGTGTGGGGGTGTTTGAGGGGGTGTATAGTGGGAATCGGGTGTGGGGTTGGTGAGGGATACAGGGGCGATGGGGGGTGGGCTGTATGAGAGCATCAGGAACTGTTTGGGGGGATCAGTGAGTCACTGGGCTGTGGGGTGGCAGGTCCCTGTGGGGCTCTGCACTTCAGAAGGTGTCGGGGGTATGTGAACACCACAGATAAGCACTGTGCTGGCTAAAAATCCCATTTCTGTCTTAATTTTAGGGCTTTGTTCACCTATGAAGGCAACAGCAATGACCTGCGAGTGGCCGGCTCTGGAGGTGACGATTTTGGGGACCGTCCCTGTGCTTCCATGGGTCCAGGGCCTTCCAGGAGTCTGGGGGGTTTCCAGGGCTCATCTCACTGTACCTGCCTGAGATGTCGGGGGTTTTTAATCCCTGAGGGTGTTTTGGGGTTGCCCTTGTTAGTGGGACAAGGAGGAGAGCTGTATCGGGATGTACGGTGTGATTTTGGAGTGAGGGATATGGAGCAGAGCCTCCTGGCAGCTCTGCTTCTCATTTCCTTTCATTTTCCTCCTTTCCAAAGGATCCAAAGTTTAGATCCTGAAGTATTTTAGATCCTGGATTTAGGCAGGACCACGTGGTACTCCAGAGCCACTCACTCAGCCAGGGCTCCCTACTCAAAGCTCTTAGAGGCCCTCGTGTCCAATTCCCTTCGTCCCGCAATTCTTTTTTATTAATTTTTTATCTGGCAGCTGATTCTCACCCAAACACTACTGACTGGGAAGACAAAGCCTTCAGGAAGCAGCGCATCCAGGCGGGTTCCCCCACACTCGGAATTTGCATCCTTTCATCCCTCCCCAGCTTCTTCCTTAATTTCCAAGTGTTTTTCCTAGCCTATGGAGCTCTGTGGAAACTTCTGGGATGCTCCACAGGATCTGGTGGAGCCATGGAGCCAGGGGTTTGGTGCTGGGGAATTTTGTTGAGGAAAACTCTTGTTGAGTTTTTTTGAGAATTTTGGGGAGCTGCAGAGAGTGTGCCCCGAGTTCCCCGCAGATCCCTGCTCTCCCAAGCATTCCCGTCATGTCCCTCCCTGCCAGCCCTCAACGACCAGCTTCAGACTTCCAACCTTCAACTTCCCTGCTGGGTTTGGAGCCAAATTTAGAGCTGAATCATAAATATTTAATGGTGAGAAGGAAATGATCTGGGTGATGCTGCAGAGCAGAGCAAGCTATGTTGGTCTCCGTTACTCCTGCCAGGGGTGATAAAGACCAGTGGCTCTTCCCACTTTTCAGGGCTCAGACAACCCTGCACAGAAGGAATTGTGGTCTGGGAGAATATTTTTGAGATAAGAGTGTGCATTTTTGGTGGTTTTCCTCCTTTCCTGGTAGTTTATTGGTGTAGTGGGAGCAATGCTATACCCTTTCCGTTGCCCCTGCCTGAACCCTGTGTGGGTTTTTCCCTCTGGGATTCACTCCCAAGTCCTCAAACCAGAACTGAGACCACTCTAGGTGGGTGTAACAGGGAGAGAGGCATTGAGGCAGGAGTTTCCCCATGGTGGACTAGCAGGACCTTACCCCATGTTACCCTCTTGGTTCCTTCTCTACTTCCCGTCTTGCAGAGCAGGAACAAGGCCCAAACAGTTCCTCCACCACTTCTCAACACCATTCCCACGCTCACTGAGGTGTTTCTGAGCATGGTTTTTTGCAGGAACCTGTGGGCAAAAGCTGCCTGCTCTCATTAAAGCTTCTAATTGATTAGGGAGTGTGAGCAGCTCCTTCCCCTTCTCTGTCATGCCTGCACTTTGTTGCAGATCCAGGATCTTTCCCTATGGGGTTTGTGGAGGCCTGAGAAAGAGGAACTGGGTGATGAAGGCGGCTGGGGATGGGAGTGGGTGAGAAAAGGCTGGAGCTTGCCTCCCAAATAATCACGTGGATGATAAATGATCAGGTTATGTGTTTACAGAGTAAACACAGGGGTCTGAGACCCTCATGAGGTACAACAACCCCACATCTAATGGGGAAAATCTCTAGGGAAGACAGAGCTGGGGTGAGTTTGGCTGTTCCCACCACACTGGACTCACCCCCTCTCCTTCCTCCCGAGACAGATGGGGGGCTGGAGGAGATGGTGGAGGAGCTCAACAGTGGGAAGGTGATGTACGGCTTCTGCCGCGTGAAGGATCCCAACTCTGGGCTGCCCAAATATGTCCTCGTCAACTGGGTGAGTGGGGACAGACCTCGGCTTCACTGGGAGAGAGCTGGAGCCCCTCTGCCATGGAGCCAGGCTGGGAGAGCTGGGGATGTCCAGCCTGGAGAAGAGAGGGCTCCAGGGAGACCTCAGAGCCCCTTGCAGTGCCTTGAGGGGCTCCAGGAGAGCTGGAGAGGGACTCAGGCTCAGATCCAGGTGCTGCTGCCATGAATGCAGCCCGGAGGGGCTCAGGTGAGCTGATGGTGTCTCCTTGCAGACGGGTGAAGGTGTCAATGATGTGCGGAAAGGAGCCTGCGCCAACCACGTCAGCACTGTGGCCAACTTCCTAAAGGTCTGATCCTCCTCGTGTCTTCCCTCAGGAAGTCACTGAATGGTTTGGGTTGGAGGGACCTTAGACCATCCAGTTCTACCCCCTTGCCATGGTAGACAGGCACATCAGGGACAGGGACATCAGCCCAAAAAATCCCTCTGGATGTTTTCTCCTTCTTACCAGAACCCTTTACCTTCCCTTGTAAGGGAAGCGCAGACAGCACATAACAGAGCAGGGTAATGGGTTTAGGAACTCCCAGAGTAACCCCTCACCCCTGTCCTGGTTTCTCCTGCTCAGGGTGCTCACGTCACCATCAATGCCCGGGCAGAAGAGGACGTGGAGCCTGAACTCATCATGGAGAAGGTGGCCAAGGCCTCCGGGGCCAACTACAGCTTCCACAAGGAGAGCAGCAAGTTCCAGGACTCAGGCCCCCAGGCTCCCGTGGTGAGTTGAATCAGGGAGGGCTTTTGGGTGCCTCTGGGTGGGAGGGAAGTCTGGGACCATTATCATCCCATGATGGAAGGGGCACCCTGACCATTGGCATACCTGTGGAATGTTCAGCCTGGAAAAGGGAAGGTTCCAGGGAGAACTTAGAGCCCCTTCCAGTGCCTAAAGGGGTTCCAAGAGAGCTGGAAAGAGACTTTGCACCAGGGCAGGAAGTAACAGGACAAGGGGGAATGGCATCCCACTGCCAGAGGGCAGGTTTGAAGCATGGAATCATGGGTTGGGTTGGAGGGACCTTAAAGCCTATCCAGTCCCACCCCTGCCATGGGCAGGGACACCTCCCACTGTCCCAGGGTGCTCCAAGCCCCATCCAGCCTGGCCTTGGACACTGCCAGGGATGGGGCAGCAACCTGTGCCAGGGCCAGCAATTCCCTATTTTTGGCAATACGCACATCACTGGCCTCACCCAGCCTTCCTTTAAATTGTAGGGCAAAGCATCGGGTTATAGGAACTTCTAAGAGAAGTCCCAGACTGTGCTGATTTGGGCTGATTTTTGACAAGAAATGCAAAAAAAAGGTGATTTCTCTGTGTCTTCCTCAGGGCTCTGTGTACCAGAAGACGAACGCGATGTCTGAAATCAAGCGGGTCAATAAGGATAATTTCTGGGCCAAAGCAGAGGTGAGTGTGCCTCAGAGCACAAAGTGTTTGGATTTAGCTGGAGACTGTTCTCCATGTACCTATTCCTTGTCTGGGAACTGGAGAGTCTTGCCTGGAATCAGGAATCAAGAGCTCAGGGAAGTGCAGAGCTGCTGCCTTGGGGTGCTCAGAGAGGAGGGGCTGAGTCTTGAAGGGGAAGGTACTGCTTTATCTCATCTGGATTTGGCTCAGGGCTGCTGGGATGGGCTTGGGGAGGGATGGCTGGGATGGGCTCTCCTGGAAGACAGCTGGGCTGCATCTCAGCTCCCAGCAAAGACCAGTTGGGTGAGGAAACTTGTTTTTGACCTCTCAGAGGGCTGCTCCGTTTCCTTCCCTTTCACCTCGGGTTTTATGGGGTTAAGCAATGGCGTATGAACCTTTTGACTGGATAAGTGCCCTGGGATCCACCGAGCCCCAAGATCCACCATGTGCTCTGGGACCTGCCATGTGCCCAGATGCAGAGGGCCAGGGGGAGTGGGACCCCCACTCCTCTGAGCCCAGAAGCCCAAGCCCTGTGCCTGTCTCCCCACAGAAGGATGAGGAGAACCGGCGGCTGGAGGAGAAGAGGAGGGCAGAGGAAGAGCGGCAGCGGCTGGAGCGGGAGCAGCGTGAGCGGGAGCTGCAGGAGGCGGCGGGGCGGGAGCAGATGTTTAAAGCCAGATCCAGTGAAATCGAAGCCCAGAAGTGAGTGGGGTTTTGGGAATGATTCCCAGAGCTCATCCTGCTCTCTGGGATTCCTGTGGTGCTGGATGTCCCTACCTATTACCTCTCTGAGCTGCCCCCAGTCCAGCAAAGTTTATTCCTTAGGAAGTGTCCATGCATTTCCCACTGCTGGAATTCCTGCAGTCCCAGGAAATCTCTTTTAAGATAACTGATATGAGAAGATCTTGCTCCAGCTGTAGAGGGAACATCTCCCTGGCAAACCCCCAAGGAGATTGGCTCCTTGTCCAGTATCATCCCTGAGTCTCCCTGCCCATGGATCTTGCTCCAGGACTACTCTCCTTTTTGTTTCCCAAACTTTTGCCTGGCACCCATGGCCCCTATTTTTGGGGTGTCAGAGGTCCAGGGAGCTCCAAGCCCCACAGGGATGACTCCAAGGAAATCTGCCCAGCTCCCATATCAAGATGCTCATGTCCATATCCCGAAGGAAGAGATTTCCCTGGCATGATCCCACTATTTGGAGCAGCTCCTGCCCCTCTCACCATGCTCCTCTCCTCAAGGATGACCTGTAGCACCTTGTCTGGCCCTGAAGTAAGGGGGATCATTACCAACGTGAGGGATGGCCTTCATGTGCTATTCCCAGAGACCTGGAATAGTGAGGTGAGGTCTCAAATCCTGATTTTTAACCTATTTGTCCCCACAGGAGACTCCAGCAGCAACAGGAGGCTGAGAACAGGGACAGGGAGCAGCAGCAATGGGTGAGCTCTGGTGTTGGCCCCAGGCAAGGTTTATCCATGGTGGAGGGGACAGGGACCTGGGACAGGGCAAGTGGAATGGCTGCACAGGAGATGTTTAAGTTGGATATTGGGAAAATTCCTTCATGGAGAGGGTTGTCCATCTCTGGCACAGCTGCTCAGGGTGGTGCTGGATCCCCATTCCTGGGGGGATGTAATAGCTGTGTGGATTTGGCACTTGGGGACACGGGTTAATGGTGGCCTTGGCTGTGCTGGGGGATAGTTGGACTTGATACTTTCAGAGGGGTTTTCCAACCTAAATCATCCCATGATTTCATGACATCAAGTCCCTGTTCTCAGCCCAGAATTCTCCCATTTCCTCCTTACCTGCTCTCCATTGCTGTGTCAGTTCTTTGGGTCCAGAGGGGGCTGAAGGGAGCAGAGGGTTCTGGCAGGAATTGGAGGGGGCAAGGGGGCTGGTCTGGAGGGGTGGCTGGTTGCCCAGCCCTCTCCTGTGCCACAGAAAGAGCGGGCTGAGGAGTACGAGGCGCAGCAGCGGAAGGGCGTCAGGAGAAGCGAGTCAGTGGAGAAAGCCCAGGTGAGGAGCTGGGACCCTGAGCCCCTGGGGAAGAGGGGGCTGCCTCGACTCTGCCCCCCTGACTGGGCTGTGTGCCCTCCCCGGGCAGGAGGCCGCCACGCTGATTGCACAGAGAGCCGTCAACCCCCGCGACATCTTCAAGCAAAGGGAGAGAGCGGGGCCAGGGGACACGGGGATGCCAGCACAGCCAGGTAAGGCCTGGGGACATGGTGAGGGTGCTGGGGGTGGGTCCCAGTCCCCACTGAGTCTCTCTGAACGTGGAGGGGTCCCAGTGGGGCAGCAATATTGTGACGCCACAGTTGGAGCTGACAACAGGTAGCTCTCACCACACTGATGTTCTCTGTTCTGCTATGTCCCATACCTGGTTCCTGTCATTTTCCAGGGTATAGATCTAGCCAAGTTTTAATCACAAAGATTGCCATGTTCTGATTCCCCTTCTGAGCCTTAAAGTTTTTTTTAATTTTTTTTTTAAATTAGAGTTCAATATATTAACACCAGGAAAAACACCACTATCGCAATCTATCGTGACTGAATGAAATTTCACCCAAGTTTTTGAACTGCCCCAGCCAAGCAGGATCTCGTGCTGTTAGAAGAGCCTGATCCGATCTCTCAGATAGAAATCAGGAAGTTTGCAAACTGAGAGCTGAGAGTAGCTGAGGAAGTAGCTGTGACGATCGTGTGACACACCCGGGTGACTGCCTCTGCCACCTCGTCCTCCTCAGCCCTACGCCCTACCTTAAATTGATTCAGAATAATCACTTTCACTTGGTGATAGGAGCATGAATCCCTATACTTCCTTGGGTGGGCAGGCAAGCCATGGATGGGAGAGGAGGGAATGCCACACTGGGAAACTGTCTTTTTTTATGGTTAGACATCATGGGGAGAGACTGACTTTGGGGTATTTCATTAGGATTTGATGGTTTTCATGGAGGAAAGGGAGATAAATGCCCTGGAATTGATCAGACACAGAGATAGGGGTAGGCAGGAGTCTTGGTGCTGGTAGGGTTTGTCTAGGAATTCTCCTCAGCTTTTGTTTGATTTGGAGGTGGAGGTGAGGAGATAGCAGTGCAGTTGCCTCCTGCCACAGGAAATGCACTGGCAGAAACTGGTTTGCATCATCTCCTCCCAGTTGATGTCTGTGGAGTTCAGGATGTTCCAAAAGTCACCATGGAAAGCCAGAGGCAGGGCCCTCCAGCTCTTCCTCCATAGAAATTTTTTTTTTTTTCATTTTCCCTTGGCTGCTGCTGTAACCAGTTGCCAAACTTGTTTTCCACAACCAGGATTAGAGCTGGAAAATCCTGCTTGGGAGGGTGACCCGGCAATACCTGTGGGTGCACAGTCAGGCTGGGAGCCCCCCTGCCTGACCAGCTCCTGTAGCCCCCTCAACTCCTTTTCCAGGGAAGCTCCGCAGCCCATTCCTGCAGAAGGAGATGAACTCTGTGCCCAGTCCTGCCTCCCCCAGCCAGGATGTTTGGGGGTCCCCGCCGGCCTCCCCAGTACCTGCAGCAGGTACGTGCTTGGGTCCCTCCATTCCCCAAAGCTTTTCTCCTCTTTCCAACTAGATCTCACAAAATTGGGCATTTTGAGGCCAGGCTTGGAGATTCCATTTGGTTTTCCCCTGGGCTTTGTCTCCAGCCAGGGCTGAGCATGATGCTGAGGATGAGGATGGTTCCTGCTTGAGCTGAAAGGCTCAGTGCCTGAGGGATGAGGATATATCCTGCTGGAATTCAGGCTGGGATTTGGCTCCATGCACCCCTAGCCTTCCTCCAGACCTGCCAGAGGGGCTTTGACAGTCAGGCTTGGACTTTTCCAAAAATGCCCCAAGGCCCAGCCGAGGCAGCTCCACCTCTGTGCAGGGGTTTCCCTGTTCCAGAGTTAGACTGGCTTGTTTCCTTGTCCCAGTAAAGTACACGGGCACGGAGGGACAGGACACAGGGAATGGCTTCCCATTATCAGAGGGCAGGGTTAGATGGGATATTGAGAAGAAATCCTTCCCTATGAGGGTGGGCAGGCCCTGGTGCAGGTTGCCCAGAGAAGCTGTGGCTGCCCCAGGATCCCTGGAAGGCCAGGCTGGATGAGACTTGGAGCAACCTGGGAGAGTGGAAGGTGTCCCTGCCCAAGCACTTCCCAGTGGTTTAGAGAAGGAAGCAATTCCAGAGAAGGCCTGGCTGTGCCCAGAGGGTCTCCCCATGCCCTTATAGGGGGCACCGAGGCCTTGTTCCTGAATCATGGAATCACAGTTTGGTTTGGCTTGGACAGAATCTCAGAGACCATCTAGTTCCACCTCCCCTGCCATGGGCAGGGAACCAGGGATGTGCTGGGGCAGCTCCCATGTCCCCAGGCCACTGTCACCACTAGATGCTGCTCTTGGCCAGGACCTCTGCTCCAGCCCTTCCCCTCCATGGGAATTTCTTCATCTTGAGCAAGTTTATCCCTTCCCTATCTCTAGCCCTTCCTTATCAGAGGTGGAACTCTCCTTTGTCCTTTCCGTTCTCCCTAAACCCCTGCTCACTCCGTCCCATGGTCTGTGCGTGCTCCATCCTCCGGCTGGGCAGGAGACTCGGAGGACACCCAGCTCACAGCAGGAATGTGGTGTCACTCCAGCCTGGGGCAGGAGCCAGATGAGGGTACAGGGCATGGTTTTGGTGAGAGATCCCTTTGTTTCTCCTCAGGACGGGACTCTGGATACAATTCTGGTGTTCCAGGGTCCCACATAGAAGAGAATCTATATGAGGAGCCCCCAGAGCCCTCGGCCATCTATGAGGAGCCGCCCCAGGTGAGTCTGGGGGGCAGGGGACCCCTTGGAACATGGCTTGTCCCACCCCTACGATGAGCCTGGAACACTTTTCTGAGCTAAAATCATAGGAAATGACGAAACCTCAGAGCTCAGGTGTACTTAGGAGGCACCCATGTGGCAAAGGGGATGCTGCTGTGTCCCTTTCCAGTGCTCCCAGTGGGAGACACTGGTACTGAGTCCCTGGCACTCATCCTGCACCCCAGGGCTGCTCCAGCTGTTGTCAGTGCCACATCCCAGAACCAGTGAGGGGAGAGGATCCATCAGCCTCTTCCAAAGCCCTTTCTGCTGTTTCTCCTGCTTCTCTGCACATCTGGACCCAATGGAGTTGGCAATCCCAGCTATTCCTGGTGCGCTCCAGGATTCTCCAGTAGCTCATCCTGGGGTTGTGCTGTGCTGCTATGGTGCCCTTGGAGATGTGAGGCCCCCTTGGTTTCTTCCCTGCTCACCAAACCATCAGCATTCCAAACATTTTCTCATTGTGGAATTTGTCTGGAAGTGTCCAGTAGGTTCCAAAGGATTCCAGAGGGGATAGGCTCAATGATCTCTTCAGCCTTTCCTGAAGAGAGCAAACTACAGCCAGCTCAGGCTCTGGCAGAAATGTTTCAGACGCTGGAGCTTATCTGCTGGGGGATGAGCATCTGTCTGCAGCAGGGATCCCAAGGGACCAGAGGGGTTGTCTGCCACTTGTCTCTGGTGTTTCCATTGGGATGAGATCCCAAGGGATTGGTTTTGAGCCAGGTGGAGGTGTGGGTCTTTGGCTAAGAGCTGGTTTGCTCCTGTGGCAGACACGTGGCACAGCTTCTCTGCAGCCCACGTTTTATTCCAGAGGGTACCCAGAACCTCCAGCAGGTCTCAGAGACCTCCAACAGGTCTCCAAGCCTTAGGGAGTTGATGGACATTTCTGGACATGGGGCATTGTTGTTCTCTTCCCTCTCACTATTCTCCTGGTAATTCCTGCTCTCCTCTCCTTCCTGAAGGAACAAGTTGACGATACCAAATATGACTACAGGGTGGAGTACCAGGAGCCATTGGACCTGGCAGGGAAGGGGCTCTGTGCCCGGGCACTCTATGACTACCAGGCTGGTGAGACCCACAGAGCCACTACCTCTGTCCTGTCCCTCCATCCTTTGTCCTCAGTCCCTCTTCAGTTCTCTTGTGGCCCCTTTAGGCACTGGAAGGGGCTCCAAGGTCTCCCTGGAGCTTTCTTTGCTCCAGGCTGGACATTCCCCAACTCTCTCAGTGTCTCCAGAGCAGTGGGGCTGCAACCCCTGGAGGAGCTCCATGGCCTTCTCTGGACTTGTTCCAGCAGCTCCAGATCCCTCTTCTTTTGGGAACCCCAGAGCTGGGGTAGTTCATGTGGTCTGACCCCACTCCCCTTGTCTGTCCCATGGCAGCTGATGACACTGAGATCTCCTTTGATCCTGAGAACATCATCACCAACATCGAGATGATCGATGAGGGCTGGTGGCGCGGCTATGGCCCCGACGGCCACTTCGGGATGTTCCCTGCCAACTACGTGGAACTGATAGAGTAGGGAACTGGCTCTAGGGGGGCTGATGGGGGGCTCCAGACCCCTAGGACTGCTCCAGACCCCCGAGATCACTCAGCTCCTGTTTGATTCTTCTGAACGACACATGGCTTTTTCTTCTCTATTTCTCTCTCTCAGTGAAGTGCCATTCCTCAGTCCCTCGGCAGTGGGGCCGCCCAGGTGCTGCCTCCCTGTCCCCCATAGCTGCCCTTGGGTGGGTGAAGGCAGGGTCCCATCCCACCCTGAGCCCGCAGTGCTGGTCTCCCCCTCTTCCCTCAGCTTTGGAGTGGTAAGGAGGGCATGAAAAGTCCCTCATAGGAATTTTCAGGGAACAAATTAACCCCCCCTGTGCTCCCTCCCACCTCGTGACCTTGGACCTGCTGCAGCCACACTGGAGAAGCCACTTTCCCAATTTTTTTTCATTTGAAAGGCTCATCAGAATAATTGTGGGATCCTGCAGGGTCTGACATGACTAGGAGAGGTGAATCCTGGCTCTGTTCCCCACCACCCTGAGCACACTGAACTTGCCACGTGTGATCTTGTGTTCTCCTCCCTGCTCTCCTCACTGTTCCCTCACCCCAAACATTCTCCGGGGATTCGAATTGGGAGTGAATAACCTCCCCTGCAGTGCAGATCCAGCCAGGCCGAGTGGGTGGGACCCCCCTCCCCACACCCCCAAACTCACTGTGAACAAGGAAAAGCCTAGCCCAGCCCTTTTCCCACACGGAGCTTCCCGCCCTGGTGTCACTTTAGGAATAGAAGGAGAGAAAGGGCTGGGGGGTCCCAACTTACCCACCCCTCCTGCAGGTGCAGGGGGACACGGTGGTTTCTCTGAGTCCCTCCCTCAAGCTCCTTCTTCTCCTTGCTGCCCCCGGGCCCTCCCCAGCTACAATAAAAGGGCTTTTCTTTGGTGATGGATGTAGCAGGATCCTGGTGGGAATTGGGGAGGAATGCCAGGGTTTTGGTTTCTATAATGCCAGACGTTATCACATCAAGTTGTCATGAACAGGGGCCAAAGAGGGGGTGACTGGGGACATAATTAATCTCAACACTAATTATCTGGGTCTAATGAGGGAGGAAGCAGCCTGCATTGGTTGGGATCCTGAGGTCTGGGTGGCCCCAGGGTGGAGAAGAGCTTTGTGGCTATAGCTGGTGGCACTGGTGGTTTGAGGACACTGGGGATATTGGGGGTGCAGGGACTGTGGAGAGAGCAGAGGGTGAGTGGACTGGAGGTACACTGGAGATTTGGAGACGTGAGAGATTTGGGGACACAGGAGACTCACACTGGCAGCCAGATGGATGCCACAGGCCATCCCTCACCCTTTCCAAACACATGGGGCCAGGTGCTCACACAGGGGACATTGTATGGCCATGGGCATCACTCCATGAGACAGAGAACTGATGACACACATGGCTTTGCTGTGTGCCATGAAGGGTGGCATCACACCAGGGTGCTGGGGACACTTCATCCCCTGCACTGGCGTTGCCCTGTCCTGTCTGAGTCCCCTCATGCCTCCCCACACCCATCAGGACATGGCACTGTCCCTTTATTTACTAGGACCTGGGCGCAGGAGTAGATGTGTGGGCACAGCATGGGTGTAGGGTGGCACAGGCACATGCAAGAAGGTGGTGAGGGCATGCAGGTGGCAAAGCTGTGGCAGCAGTGTGGGGGGGGCAGTGACTTGTGGGCATGCCATGGGCTTGGGAAGGTGTAGGGATGGGGATGGCTATAAGCACGGGGTGGGCAAAGGAATTGAGATGATGGGATGGCACAGGGGCAGGAATGACGTGGGTTTGGGTATGGTGAGGAGATTGGGATAGCACAGGGATGGAGCTGTCACAGAAAGGACATCTTCACACTTGGAGATGGGCATGGGCATGGCACAGGCTGGGCATGGGAATGGGGAATGAAGTTCCATGGGCATTAGAATGGCAAAGGGACAGACAGGGATGATGTGGGCGTGAAGTGGACAAAGGCAAGGGGATGACAGGGCATTGTCATGCACAGGGGCAGCATGACATAGGCTTGGGGATGGGGTGGACATGGGCATGGTACAATGATGTGAATGGCTGGCATGGAGAGGAAGATAGCAGGGGCTTGGGCAGGGTGTGAGCATGGCAATGGCAAAGGGATAAGTCTTGGGGATGGCATGGAGATGAGCCTGGCATAGGCATAGTGTGGGCAAAGACATAGGGATATCACAGCAGTAGAGATGTCACGGGCTTGGTATGTGATGCACAAGGATGTGAATGCCAGCAGCATGGGGATGGGATGGGATGGACAAAGGCGCAGGGACAGGGATGGCACAGTGACAGGGACAGCTGAACAGAGCGCAGCCATTGCTGGGAGCTGGCACAGCTGCACAAGCCTGGTCACACCCCGGGTCAGGCACTGCCCCATGGGCACCTGCTGCTCATTTCCAGCTGGTGAAGAACTGCATGTCACCTTGTGTCCCCATCCCTGGGCACCTTTCCAGATGAAGACCATCCCACCAGTGCCATTGTCCAGCACGAAGCAGTCATCAGGGCAGAACAGGCTGGTGGCCACCTGGGTCAGGTCCATGCGCCTAACTTATCTGACACCTGCCCGTGGAGGGGACGTCACTGCAGGGTCGCCTGGGGCCTCTCCAGCCCAGGGTCCTCTCTCTCCCTCCCAGCCACTCTGGCATTGCCCATCCTTGCCTGCTCCAGGGCTCCCATGGTGTTCCCTGGCCATGCTCAGTTCCATATGGCTTTCCTAAGGGTCACCAGAATGTCCCTGGGCCATGTCCAAACTCATGTGCTCCTGGGGGCCGTCATGGTGTACCCTGGCTGTACCCAGCCTCATGTACCTCCTGTGCCCAGCATGGTGACACTTTGGTATGCCCAGCTCTGGTGCCATTATGGTGTCCTGCCATGTCCTTGCCTTGTAGAGGACAGCTGCCCCTGTGTGTTACTCTGGTCAGCCACCATGTCCTCCTCAGGGCTGCCCTCCTGCAAGGAGGGCTTGGGGCCTAGCACCTGCTGGGGGATGAGACTGGGGGGGGCATGGAACCACCCCAGGGACATCCAGATGCCCCTCTCTGCCCAGTGGGGACATACCTGGACCAGCTCAGGTGGTTCCTTGCCATCAGCCACAATCTCCAGGTGTGCTTTGCCACTGCGCTCACTGTCCTGACTGGCAGCAGCCAGCTCCTGCATCCTGCTGTGCTCCAGGACATTGCTTCGGGCCCCACACCCGACAACGAGGGTCTAGGGGCAGGGAGAGAGACAGTGGTGATGGAACTGCCCCATAGTGGCCCTCAGCCCACCTCGCCCAGGCTGGGGGTGGGGCAGCTACTGGGACTGAAGCTGGTCCAGGGAGATGCCATGATGGGAAGATGGGCACTCCAACCACCCAGCATCCCTATGGATAGGGAAATGCCTTAGTGGCCACTGGAAGGACAGACAGACACCCCAAGTGGAGGACAAACAGCCAGTCCTGTGCAGGGACAGGTGCCCCAACGAAGAGGGACATGCCAGTGAGCTGATGGACACCCCAGAGGACAGAGGAGCACATGGGACATGTATTTTGCCCCACACCTGGTGAGAATGGTCTGGGGACTAGGGATGGCAACAGCGGGGAGTGGGACAGTGGGGTCAGGCGCCCTCCAACCCCTCTGTCCCAGGTCGAGGAGGAAGCAGTCACCAGTGTTTGAAGCTGGCCCAGGACAGGTCCCGCTGGCTCACCCAAATCTTCCCCTTGCCCTTCATGTGGTAGAGTTTGGGCACAGGACCGGGACTAGGCTGGGCACACGTGAAGGCTGAGGCCACGCTGCCCTCCGGCCGGCACAGAAGGGCTCAGCACCAGATGGGGGTGACGGCCACCCAGCACAGACACTGAGCAGCTGGAGGGGATGCAGAGCACCCCATGGCGGTGCCGAGCCCGTGGTGGGGTGCCCAGCACCCAGTGCTGAGTGTCTGGTGGAGGTGCCCAACATCCAAGAAGGGTGCTGAGCACTCAGTGCAGTGCCCAGCACCCAGTGGTGCTGATAAGAACCAACACAGACATGAGCACCCAACAGGGATGCTGAGCACCTTCTGGGGGTGCCCAGCACCCCACGAGGGCTCAGCGAGGATGAAGCAGAGCGCTGAGGGAGCCCAGTGGTGATGCTGGGCACCGCTCTGGGGTGCTGGGAGCCTGGTGGGAATGCTGAGTACTGGGAGCACCCCTGGGGACCTCCAAAACCGGTAGGTGAGGCCGCGGGGGAAGCAGTCCATGCCGAGGTCGGACTCGTTGCCCTGAACCTCGCGGTGGGTGACGGCGCTCGCCCAGCTGCGAGCTCAGCTGGGTGGAGAGGAGGGCACAGGCACCCCGCTAGTCCTGCGGGGAGTCCCAGCCTGGGGGAGCCAGGCAAGTACCCAACCCCAGCTGGCTCACGCCATCACACAGCCCCTCCATCCCCCCTGTGCTCACCCACCCACAGGTGGAGGTGGGCTTGCTCCTCGAGCCCGTTGTGCAGCACCACGTACGTGTCCCCCGAGAACAAAACGCCCAGGGTTGCCTCGGGGACCTGCACTGGCCGCAGCTGCTCCACCCGCCAGACGTGCAGCCCCAGGCTGGTGGCACCGGGGCCGAAAGGGGAACCACTGTGGGGCGGCGGGTGGGGTCAGATGGGAGCAATCGGGGGGATGGGGGGAGTGGGGAAGGGTACCTTTTGGGGAGAGTGGTGCACATGGCAGTGAGGCTGTGGAGACAGAGGGATAGAGGGCCAGATAGACTTGTGGATGGGGAGACACCGTGAGATGATTGCAAAGGATGGAGAGCCAGGAGGGAAGTCAAGGACACCCCAGCAGACAGATCAATACCCAGAACGACAGACGGACGCCCCAACAGACACTCTGAAGGACAAGTAGACTCCCTGATAGACAGACACCCAGAAGGACAGACAGAAACACCAAGAGACATCCAGAAGGGCAACTGGATGCCCAGATGGACACCTAGAAGGACAGACAGACACCCCAATGCATACATGGACACCACATGAGGTAGATGGACACTCCAATGGGCTGACAGACACCCCTACGTTCAGATGGACACCTATGGGTAGGGGGAGACTCCCATGGACAGACAGACAACCCAATAAATGGACACCCAGGAAAGTGGACAGACACCTCAATAGCCAGAGGTGTCCTGACATACAGCCAGAAGGACAGACGGACCCTAGGAGGGTGGGATGCCCCCAGGACAGACAGACCAGCGAGGAGTACAGCCCATGACGGACAGACGGACAACTCGACAGCGCCCCCCTCCGAGAGACAGACGGACGGACCCCCGACAAACGGACGGACGGACGGAGCCCCAAGAGATTCCCCGACAGCGCCCGGCTCCCTCCGAGGCTGCGGACGCCTCAACAGCCGGAAGGCGCCGGGAGTGACTCAGGCGCAGGAAAGGGTGTGGACGAGGGTGGCGAGTGAGGGAGGGGAATGGGGGGGCGCCAGGACTGGGACTCCCCGGTGGGAAAATGTGGCTTCGCGTGCGGCCCCTCGTACTGGGGCGGGGGAGGGGGGAAAGAGCCCTGGGACCCCCCCCCCCCCCCGCTGGGACCCCAACCCTACTGAGGACCCCTTCGTCATGGGACACCCTCCCTGCCTCTACAGCTTGATGGGACCCCCACCCCACTGGGATCCGTCTTCACACTGCTGGACTCCCCATTCTGCAGACCCTCCTGAGGGACTCCCTCCTCCTGAACCCCTCCTCGATGCTGCTGGACCACCAGACTCTCAGGGGATCCCCCCACCCCATTGCTGTGACATCCTCCTGGATCCACTCTAGGATCCCCATCCCGCCGGGACCCTTATGGGACCCCTCCACCCTGACGACACCCTACCCCATCCTACTGGGACCCCCCCTTTCCAGGCCCACCCACCCCTCCCAGGACCCCCATCCCTCCTGTGCCACCTGTGGGCCATTCGCCCTGGGGTCCCAGGCCTCTGGCCCCCTGCCAGGGGCTGGGGCAGCTCTAGGGGTCCGGGGGAGGTAGAATCTGTACTGAGAAGAAGGGACTATACTGGGCATGAAGATAATGCTGGGAGCTTTAGTGGGTGGGCTGTATGGGGGTGGAGCTGAACTGAAAAGGGGCTGTAGTGGCTGGGGGACTGTACTGGATGGTCTACATGGGACTGGGATTGGAGGAGCTGTACTGGGAGCTGATACTGGTGGGAGGATATGTACTGGGAATGGTAGGGTTGTACTGGGGGAAGACTGTAGAGTGGGGAGGGAAGGGAATTGTACTCGGGGCTGTGCTGGGGGAGCCATAACAGTCTGGGGAGGCTGCAGTGGGAGTAGGAGTGGAACTGGAACGGGGGCATTCCTGAGGGCTGCACGAGATGGAGTAGGGGCTGCAGCAGAGGCACTGGGAAGTCACTGGGCTGCACTGGGAGGCACAGGGAAGTGCAGGTGGGGCCCCCCAACTCCCGGCAGGCTCCAGCATTGCTGGACAGTGAGTCATGGCTGAGGGAGCCACGCGTGTGACTGGGGGGGGTGGTCACGCATGTGACGATCGCGGGCGGCCTGAGCTGCCACGTGGCCCTGCCGCCACTGCGGCCCAGGGAGCCTGCAGGGCCCGAGCGGGTGGGGGACACCCAGTGCCCCTCCAGCATCACCCCTTGCACCCCCAGCGCCCCAGGGGGCACCCTGGGGATGCACGCCGCAGCCTGAACCTCAACGTCGGGGGCGGGGGGGTGTCACACGTGTAATACGTGTGCACTGCGTGCAGAGCGTGTGCACCGCATCTCCTGTGTGTGCTTCCTCTGTGTGCGGCAAGGACAAGGCGCTGCCATGCATGTGCAGGGTCTCACGTGCAGTGTGTGAATACCATGTGTGCAGGGTCTCAT